AATTTTCAGTGGAGCAGCGACTATACCTGTGCATTAATTAATACCGGTACTTAATTTTGCCAGCAAAAAAAAATAAACACATTAGATATGCCAGGATGACACAAGTAGGGCACAGTTCTACATTAAATTGTCAATTAAAATTAAAGCAGTTCAGATTCTCCCTAGGAACACAATCTAGGCACACAGTCAACTCTTCAAGTCTTTCTATAAATACCGTAATGAATAAATGAGAAATACCAGAGGGTTGTCAGATCAGATAAATAGCAGCCTTAAATAATGGGATTTGTGCTGTTGCACTTTGTTGTCATAATTTCAAGCAAGTTAACATTTTTAACTACTTCTTGATGTGACATTGTTATACAGGCAAATTGTAATTTTTTCACAATAAATTATATATTAGCATTGATTTTGGAAAACAAATTACCGCTAACCATAATCTTTTCTTTCGACCTAAAACGATCATTTATGCTCTGATAAACAAGTTCAAAGGTCAAGCAACAGCCCCATAAATCAATAGACTTTGCATATATCAATTGTTAAGCTGCTGTATAATTATCCGTTCCAGTTTGTAACTGCACCCCCACACCAATACAATTTGGGGAAAAAAAACAAGACTTCTACTTACCTGATTGATATTCTGTTGCCTTCCTTCTTGCCGTGTGATAGAAAATAATACAATACCTGTACATCAAAATACACCACACAGCACATGCAAAACACACACACACACACTTTTAGGGTTTCAGTTTTGCAACCAAACCCTTTTAACGGTATATCCCTTTTTGGAGGATGTGTGGCCCTAAAGAGGGCCGAGAATGAAAGGATGGAAAGATGGATGTGCGATAGTTTTTTTATATATAGTTCTATGAAGCGTCTTGTTGTGCGATGGATGCGACCTCTGACAGTTGTGCGTGCGCCAGCATCAGTCTTCTACTTGGGTTCTTCATGAGCTTGTGAACATTTTTGGAGACGATCTTGTGGAGTTGTTGGTACATAAAAATGGCAGTGAGCGTCTCTTCCATTTTGGTCACATTATTTACAATGTCCGAAAAAAAAAATGATTTTTAAGAAAATACTTGCTAATACAGTAGACAAACTGTACAGATCAGACATCGAGTCTGTATTATATACAATGAATTTTGATAAAAAGTGCCTAAATATTATTTGTTGTTATTAAACGAAAGTTTATTTTAAACTCCATATACGGTACTAACATGTTTTTCCCTATTAACTATTTGAAATCTAGATAAAAACGGCAACACCCTAACATATACAAAGTCTGTACAGATATAGCACCTCTCCTCAATCAAGAAAACTTCCATTTTTAGACAAAACTTACAAAAACCTGAAATATTTACACTATATACGCTTTCAAGTGCACTTCAAAATACATGGGATGTCAATTTGATTTTAAAAATTTCAAAAACTCTGAATATATATATAACACTGAAAAAGACTATGAAATTTGGATTTAAAAACATGTTTTCTGTATGAAAGCTTTCTTGATTTGTTGAAGTTACCATATCCCCCACAAGATTGACAATGATCGAAATTAAAAAAAAACGTGAACCACTCGAAAAGGTTTCAACGTATATGAAGGACCCTTAATTCTGGATTTGAATTTCTGTGCGTTTTATTACCACTTAAACCATGGAACCATAGTTCCATGCTTAACTGAGCTTATCACATGCATAACTATCTGGGTTATAATTTGAGCAAGAATTGGTTCGGAATCTAGTAGCTGACTTGGGAAGAGAAAAAGATGGGTGAATAAAATGAGTAGAAATCTGACAGGTTCAACTGATTACCTGAAACTACAATCTAAAGAGCTAATAACTCCCTATCAAAAATACTAATTATTAATTTTTAACATTTACAACTTTGTAAAGATATTCTAAGTCCTGATTTATCAAAAACAATTTTGGTCACAAAACGTTCTGTCTCATTTTCTTTAAAATATCATAAATCTTTGCATAAAATACGCTTTCTTTGTGAAGTACTCTTAGATTATTTTTAAAATCGCCTTAAAATTCACGCAGTTACTTTGAGCATCATTTTCAGTTGTGAAGTCATGATATCACATTCTGCTTCAGGAGTAATGCTGCGAGGAGTAATAATGGCAGTAGTACTGACCCTCCTATTTTTTACCGACTCTTCGACCCAACGTGTGGGTGGCCTCGGCAGAAATTTTGGCGATGGTGGGTCGCTAAACTTAGCACCAGCATAGGGACTTTCGTTATTGCTGTTGGGATCGGACGGCTGTGGTGATTGTCTGGGTGTGACGATGAACGGCGAAGACGACTTAACTCGTCGATTGTTGTTCTCTATGTCCATAGTTGTACGTGGTGAAACCCTGCTTTGTGTGCCGTTGATATTACCCTTACGTAGTTTTGGCGATGGTGTGTTGCTGTTTCGGTCCCTATACTTCCTATAACTGTTCCCTCCACCTCTTCTAGTCGGGGTGTGGTGAGTACTGTTTGGATTTGGGCTGTTTGGAGCCATGGTGTAAGTCATCGAAGAACCTGTTTGTCGTGGCTAGGTGACCTCTGTCTACGTGCGTTTCTCGGTCTCGTCGATGACTCAATCTGATTTTGACCTAAAATCGCTCCCTGAAACAAGCACGTATTATCATTCGAAACGATCCGAGCGAGGTAATATTTCGATTACAGTCGCTGAACGTTCTTCTTTCGTCTCTTCGCTTGGATGAGAAGTATTTACCAGAAAGCCTTCGTTTTGGCAAAAAACCAACAAAGAGTTCCAACGTGGAACAAAGATGGCGAGTAAATATAACAGCTCTTCTCGGCGATAAAAAAACTCCTTCTTCAAATATTCTTCACTGAATATTCTCTTACTAACTGCCTTCAAATGGTGATATGCTCTCTCCCCTCTCGTCTACACTCTTTTGGCACAAAATTGTGCTGAAAATAGGCATGAACGCCGATAAATTGCACAAAGTAATGGCAAGAGCTCGACTCTTCTCAAACACTAACAACAGAACGACACAAATACAGTGCATTTAGCTACCCAATCACGTTAACCCACAAAGACACGTGATTAGAATCTACCAATCCCTGTTGAGTTATGTAAATTACTGTGCTTACACATTTTTTATTTATAGATCTGGAAAAGAGATGACAACTTTATTCTCGAAATTGATTCCAAGTCTATCGCGATAAGCTCCTGTCTTTAGAAATTCGACATATTACCCAAACGTGATTCGCATTTTCAGCCTTACTATAATTTCACGACTCGATAAAACTGTGGATCATGGAGTAAAAAAGGCTCAGTTCTTTGTTTTCGTGAACATTGACGTCATTGACACGCCTTTTGTTATTGAACCCCTATAAGGCGCGCGTCCCTGGGCAACCATTTCCGTTTACTCCCTAGTTTACTCACTTTTGACTATAATTATTGGATGAAAATACCCTGGAAAATACATAACGCGGACACACGTACGAAAGGAACCCCCTTCGGAGAAACATTGCATGTGCGATGATTTAATCATTAACTAAAAAAATAAATATTTGTTTATTCGTGAGGTTGATTGACGGCA